CTACTACTACTACTATTACTACAACTACTACCACCACCATTACTACTACCACCACCAGTACTGGCATACCAGTAGCAGCCATCACCATCGTCGTCATCATCGGAATCATTCACTAGCTCCTAGCAACAACCTGAAAGTACAGCCCTGGACTGAGACGTGCAAGCCGAGCAAAGGTTGGAAGCTAACCCAGCCTGCCCTCCTGAAACCACCATCCCAAACAAACTGACACTGAGAACAACTACTGGCCTTTACAGCAGCGGCAGCAGCAATCATGTCTGAACTCAGAGGTGTTCCGCCTCAATTCCCAAGCCCGTCTTCGCACAGGCCTCCGGCCTTGCTAAGACTGGAATCCCTGATCTACCTTTCGCACATGACCTATGCCTGCTTAGTGTCCCGACCAAAACTGCACACCCACCGCTGTGTGCACACGTCCAACTGCAAAGCTCCTAGACCCACCTGGAGGTAGTCAGCATTCTTTTCTGGATCCTCCTCCAGGAGTTTGATGGAAAGCTCCTGTGCACGCGGCGCAGCGGCGCAGCTTGCACTGGTGACGAGAAAGAAGGTAGAAAGCAGGCTGAAGCCCTGAAGTTCCGCCTGGCATACGCGTTCACCAACTCGAGAGGGTGAATCGAAGCTGAGACATCGCAGAAACCCGCACACATGTCATGCAAAAGGGATCCCCAACGACTCGAATCGACTCTCAAAAGGGACAGCGAGACTTAAAGCTCGAATATGGGGGCGCAGGTTGGAAGCCACCTCCAAACGCTTGTGCTCATCAGCGACGACATTAACCACGGCCTCTCGGGTAACAAAAAACGGTCAAAGGCCTGATAGAGATTGGCATGTGTGCTTCAAGCATGTCTGGCCTGGATGGCTGTGGTGTCCTCTGGCTTGGCCTCACTGTCCAGGAACCAGATGTCCTTAAATGGACACATGGAGGCAGGCATGGAAAAAGGTTTCTACAAAAAGCTCGAACTATTTGAACTACACGTTGCGCCAAGCCATTCACAACCGAAACTGCCCCAGTTGCCACCATGATGATGCAGAACTATCAGGACAAGAAGCCCCAGCAGAGAATTTTTACTTCTCGTAACCATACTGCACATCGAATGATCACGTCGGCCTTCTGTCAATGCATAGGGCGTAGAGGAAAGAATCAAGACCAAGGAGCGATATGATCCGGAATAGGAATCTCCCGTGCTGCGATGGCAGCAAGCATTGTTGACTTGCCAGATCCGTTCCTTGAGCAGGGTCTGGGATCTTCTAGTGCCGCATCCCCACAGCCCTTTCCAACTGCCTTAGAACCTGAAACTGCCGAAGCACATTCCGATGAGACCGTACCTGCGGCCAAAGTTGAGCTCAAGCTTCGTGTCCTCCCGTCATGCAAGCACCAGCAACCAACTTACAAGCATTACGAATGTTAACCTTTCACCACGTCACATGGGGCATACAAGCACGCAGCAACCGGCCTTGATGAACTCCTTGCCGTAGACACCCATGGAGAACTGCCTCGGGCCCGGCCAGCAGCACTAGCCAGTCCGCTTGATGACCCCGTATCCTGGACCTGGATTAGGGATCAGCCTTTATGCATTCCACTCGCTTTACAAGATCATTGGGATTCCCAGGTGCTCGATCTTCACGTCCATTGCCTGCTGAAAGAGCTGGGCGTGTGTCGGAGGCTTTGACGGGCTCGTCTCGCAGAGCTAAGCAAATGGATGCAATCGGGCCTGCTGCTGCGAGGCCAGTACTCCCGTGACCACTGCAGTCTCCAGGACCTGTGGGTACTTGACAGCTTCAGTTATCAATGTCCAAGTCTACGATGCGGCCATGACCGGATGAAACAGTTTTCGCATTCTCCAACTCTACTGGTCCCTGACAGAAGCTCTCCATTCGAATGTGCCGAGCATGACTGCAGTGAAATGGGTGGGGGCCGTGGGCTCCACTCTCAATTTCTTTTTCACACCGAGTTGCCGCTGCCCGCTTCACGTTTCCCTTAAGCATGGCTTCCTTCTGCACCTCTGTCAGCAGCTTTGAACACCAGTGTGTGTGGCATGCATTTGTCCCATTCCATGCGGACTCAACGGCCATGGCTCGGAAGCAACAACCGATCAGAGCACGATGCTGTGAAACGGACTCCAACTCCAATGCTTGCCTTGTCCACTTGGTCATTGACTTTGTCTTTTTTTCCTCACAGGAAAAAAACTTCGTGGCCCCGCGATCTAAGTCTTCAGACAAAAACCCACAAAATGCCTGACCCCAGGCCAAAAAGGTGTATGTCAGGACCATAAGGGGCCCTACACCGCTGCAGCGGGCAAGGCGAACTGGGATTTTCCCTGGAGCCTGCAGCAGTCTTCGCCTTTGCCTTAGCTTTTCGCTTCTCATCCTCCTGGCTGGGATAAGAAGCTCACAGGGAGAATGTATATAAAAGCATTCAAAGCGTTCGAAAGGGACAGCGACCAGCATTTACCTGCAAGGCCTTCTTGGGAAAAAACGTTGCGAGTGACGTGTTGGCTTGGCTAATTTCAAGGTATCAACTGCAAGCTACATGAAGTGTCGTATTGACAGCATCGCTCCTTGCGGCCCATGGCAAAGTGGAGTCCTTACAGGATGCCCGGTGCTTTGCACCACCCAATGCTCAAATGCTGCGGACACAAGCGAAATCGCCGAACCTGTCGGTCATGACGAAGTTGCAACACAAACCCAACGCATACAGCGCTACACAACAGAGCAAGTACGGTACACAGGCTGGCAGCTTTCGAGGCTGCGAAGCCTGGCTGCAGCCACATTGCATACCCTGCTTGAGTGAAGGATCTCCATGAATTGGGGGTTGGAGCTAAATAAAAAAAAAAACCTCGGTTGCGAAGTGTCTGGCGCGAGAATTGCAAGTGCACTCATGACTATTTCGGGCATGGATCCTGCTCAATGTCATATTGCATTATCCTCGATGCACAGCGTTCGTGTCTACACTGACATCTTGCCGAGATCCTTTGCCATGCAAGTTGGTAATGTGTGACGCTCGACTCCGCAAGCAATATCCATGGCGTCGGTGAGACTGTTGCTCTGACGCCAGGCCAAAACTAAGTAAATTCAAGCAGAAGCAGCCTCCAAGTATGGATGCCTTCTATTGACTGTGCCCAACACCTCTTTTTCGAGTGCTCGAAGACACTAAAAGCTGGAGTGACTTGACTCCAGCATGGAGACGAAGTCCTCGTGGTGAATCGTGTTGCAACATAAGCCGTCGCATGCCGGAAACTCGCTTGCACTGCTCGACGCATGGAGGCTCACAGATCTGTCAGTTTCGGCTGGTTGCAAAGAGCTCAGCAAAATGCTGGACCCAGAAGCACCCAAGCCGCCTTTTGTGAAGCGAATTTGTCCTGAGACACCTCTGAAGCTACGAAATCCAAGAATGCTCTTCGGCGCTTGGACACTTCAAGCCAACTAAAAGCCAGGCGAACTGCCGCATCAACGCCCTGTCAAAACTGGCATGTAATTTCTAGTCGACCTGTACACATGGGAACGAATTACAGCTGCCCTCAGTGACTGAGCTAGCCATAAACTAACTTGAAAAAGCAGAGGCTTCACCAGCTTCAACACTCACTCGATGGGGTGAGGGGGCTGTCCGGGATCCACTGGGGGTTCTGCAGGCGTGGGCTGCGACACCCTCCTGCAGCACTGCCCTCGAAGAAGGGCGGCAAGCCCAAAGATCAAGGCACCCAGGATTACGATGATGAAAGCGTCAATCAATGCCCCCAGCACTTCTGGCCAGTCAAGCCGTTTCTCAGATTCTTCTTCAACGCCGCACTTGCTTACGAAACTGGCCCTCATTGAAGCCCTATGTTGGATTTCTGCTTTGGCAGCCGTCCCTTCTTCCAGCACGCTTGTCAATGCCCATGACAGGCCATGCGCTAATGGAGGGGCAACAGGAAACCCGACAGCAAAAGTCAGCAATACCTCTTCGGAGGGGACCTTTCTGATCTTGCAGTCGTAGTCCGAGGGCCGCCCTGACCCGGCAAATTCCCCAGCGTGCATGCGGTCAATGGCTTCCTGGTACATGACAGCTGCACTACACTTTTCCTCGTGCAGCAGTTGGGGTATTTCCTTACTGGTCCCCACTGGTCTCCAAGTCACGTTCTCAAGGACGGTGTGATACGTTTGGCTAAAGTAGGACAATGCCTCCTCGTCGACGCAAATGGACATGTCCTTGGCGTCCTCCAACCGCTGAAGACTGGTAACCTGCTTGCGCTCCAAAGCCAAGATGTCTGTCAAGTTTGCCTGGGATCGCTTGAGGGGCCCTCGTGGCAACTCCGGCTTAAATGATTGAGGTGTACTTTACATCTTAACGAGAAGCATTCTCAATCTACCCTTGTCGCCGTGTAGGTAGAAGTCAGCACAAGCATGCCCCAAGCAAAGCCCCAACCTGCGACCTTGCATGAGGCCCTGCTGGAACTTCCAAAGGACCGTTGACCCCCAATAAGGTCCAGCAGGTCGTGTGTATATCTGCGGTGAAGGGCCGCAGGAGGGCTCTGGTTGACCAGCTCTAAGTGGCGCCCGGCCAGAAAGCACAAGGCGGAAAGCAGGATAAAGATTCCAATGGCCGCCCAGGCCCAGGGTGTGAAGGGTTTGAAGGGCCTCTCCATGATTGCACCAGGAGTCACCTCCGTCCGTGGCTTCGCGGCTTGCACCAGGTAGAACATGTCGAAGCGCACGGGAGGCAGGAACTGAGCGATGGCGCTTCGGCACGGCGTGATCCACAAGTCTGCGATGCAGAGGTCAAACTTCCCCACCGCTACATCATGGACACACTTGCTGTAGCCAGAGTTGCAAACAAAGCAACCCGACTCATCTTGGGAACAGTTGGAGCCCGCTTGCGTCTCCCAGTAGGATTGGTCGGTGGGATTCAAGATGGGGATTGAGGCGCCCGTCTGCGAAGTAGTCGCTCTTTTGGTGGAGTTGAGGAAATCAAACTCGGTGAAGGATTTGTTAATGAGCTCTTGCAGCATCCTGGGCCATTCTCCCGTGCGCAATATATAAAAACGACAACCAGATCCACCGAAACCCGCAGAACAGGGTCACTATAGAAAAAGTGGATTTGGGAGCGCTCCAAAAAAACGGGTTTAGAGTTTGGGCTACTGGGTTGTCTACAAAGGGGACCGAACTTCTGTTCTAGAGCTCAGCCCAACGGCTCGTTCGGGTAGATTTTACTGGGATCAACGGCAGCTTGCACTTCGAGGTTGGCCATCCATTTCTCGAAGCGGGTCTCCTTGAAAGGATCTATACGGGGTTTACGGTTCCTTTAAGGGATCTGCAGGTTTAGGGGTTTAGGGGGCTCTTTAAGCTCTTTTTTGGGGGGCTCAGAACCAGGCAGGCACCCCCTGAAGCGGCTCGAAGGATTCATGAGTTTTAGGCTGGCAGGCAGTCCCCTAAGGCTCAAAAACCTATGAGTTCTTTTAAGCCCGGCTTCGTTGTAGCTGCCCAAGGCCCCGCAGGTCTCATAGCTGAACCTCACGCTGGGCTTGTCGACTCTCTTTAAAACGTCTGGCTGAACAACACCCCATCTTCGTGGAGGTCATGATTTTGGGTCCAGAGTCTCGGGGTTGGGTCGTTGGAAAAAGCATACAAAAAGCGGGGTTAGGGTCTGAATCCCCATCACTCACGCCGACTCCTCACAGAAGATGGCTACACTCACCCAAAGCCACATGGGATCCTCTACCTCCGAACCTGAGCCCCAAAACTACCGCAAAGACCCTACTTCGCACGAAATCTGCGGGGAACATCACCGACGAGTCGTTGACGAACCTGCTCTCATAGCGGGGCCGCTCACGACAATGCGGGGAAGCCATGGAGCCCCGGCGCCTAGGTTGCGGCTGGCAGCCGAAGTATTAGGGTTCAGGGTTGAGGGTTTAGGGTTTAGGCTATCATGCTGCTACCGAGCTGGAGTTGAGTTGGAAACTGGCACGTGATAAAAAAAAGGGCTAGTCTCTTCTTTTTCCCACTCGACTCCCTTTGAGTTTCCCTTAGAGCAACCCAGACGCAGGTGAGCTTCCTGGCACTTCTGCTGATTGACTTTGCAGGCCTCGATGTCCACCTGAGCGTGTCCACAATAAACTGCATTCCTGCAAGCCACACAATAGAACTAGAAAATGTTTCCAAGGGCAAGCTGGCCGCGTAACACCACGGCTGCTTGCATGAAAGAGGATACTTGTCGCACTCCGCACTATTGTACACCTTGCAGCACATACCTACTTCCTGAGATTCCAGCCATCAAAGCAAACCTTTTGTGGATACTGTTTGGCGAAATGCTCTCTGGCCATCGGGCCGTTGGCAGTTTCCAAAAAACAGCGCCACCCTGTACACCCCCAAATGAAAAGATATCCATGTAAGTCCCTATTACAAGGATCCCTGTGAGCATCCAGCCTGGCAGCCGTTCGTGCCTTTCGGCTCGTTGATGTCGTTCGACCTCAATGCCCAGACCACCGCATTGTAGCCGTTGACGTTCCTCAGGCGCACGCGCCAAACGCTCTGCAAAGCTGCGAGGCTTCTTGCTTAAAGAAGTCGCTGTACGTACGGGCGCGGCCAGCCGCACGCGCAGCTCCCTCACCAAAACGAACACAAAAGCTTCTTGCCTGACCCCCAATCAAAAGCTGCCGCCGAAGTTCTTAGATTCATTCGTCAGGCACG